AAGTTGCGGACAAGTTGCTGCGGACACACACACACACACAAACACACACACACAAACACACACACAGGCAACTTCGTGACAATATGCGTTTTGTACTGCTGTTACACAGCACAAAACGCATAAAAATCTAGAAGCAGCAACCCGGTCTTGTTTGTTTGCTTGTTTGTAAAATGTTCATCCGTAACCAAGTGATCTTGGAACCAGTGAATTTTTTTGCTGTCGGGACAGATCGTGGAATCAATGACTTTTTTTGCTATTGTAACGCAGGGGAATTCAGGCGTTTCTGTTCAGCTAGGATGCCCCGTCACAAAAATTGAGATACTGGTTAGGCTATCTTATATCTCGCAAACCGATAAAGTTGTTGACTAGGATTCCTGGGAAATTGTTGCAGACAATCCGAAGAAATTTACAACAGGCTTAATGTCAGAAGACATGGAGCAGATAAGTGCGGCAGGTGGAAAGAGGCCGCGTTACGCATCAGGAGCCAGGCGCGGAGAGAATATGCTGGTGAGCCGGGTCACCAGCTTGGTACCAGCACCGATGCGGAGGCAGTCCGACTCCTCCACGAGTGTCAGATGAAATCGCGTAAAATCCTCTTCATTGCAAACGCTTGCCAAATCTTTCACACGCAGAGCGGAAACATACTGAGATTTGGTTAGATCACTGCGAATCGTAATGACACGTCCATGTGGTAGGAAATCCTTAGGTATCATGCGCTTCCAGCTATCGAAACGTTGTTTGTCCGAGGCGATTAGAAAGTTGGACGATTAGGAACTTATGAGGCTCACGCCCCGCCCAATGCAGAGACTCAATCTGCAAGGAGTCTATCTCACCTTGGGATCGACGCATGCCGTCGGCGAGGAGTTGATGGAAAAGAGCTAAGGGTTTGATCACGGTCACCCTGGTGGTTCCGTCATGTTTACACGACTCCACGCGACATCTGCTGAAGTCGTAACCGAAGATTCGGACACTGAATGACCGCGCAATTCGCTCGTTGTTCTCGATACGTTGCGTGTTTTCGGTGATACGTGCGCCATGGCAGTCCAAGACTTCCTTTAGTTCGTCGAGTCGCTTACGCAAACCTTGTAAGACAGTTTACTGAATGGAAGAAGCAATAAGATCTAGTAGTCAAAAGGGATTAAGCGGATAAAGAAGATACCCTGGAGAGGTCGAACCTCTCTAGGAACAGTAGCAGCATAGCCTGGTATCAAGTACCAGGCCAAAAATAGCGGTCAGGTGGCCAAAGCCAACCCGAGACAAAGCGCGCCAAAGGCGCAAGGGATATGACGCAGAAAGTTGAGGGGTGAATGGGGAAGGGGGGAAGTGAAAAAGGATTACGAAAAAATGGACAAGGAACTGAGACAGAGAGAGGCCGATTAAGACGGTAAGGCTGAAAGAGGCCGATTCAGGGAAGATAACGAAGCGAGTGACGGGATCTGACGCAAAGCGGCAGAGACGGCTTACGCCGGTCTCGATGCCACCTGGCTCAGTTTGCTAAGCCGATTGTAGCATCCATGTTGATCTAGGATGCCAAAGTAAGGAAGGCGTATAAGCAAAGGAAAAATAGTCGGAAAAAACAATTGAGTTAAAATGTTTCGGTCCATTAAGTCATATACGTCTTAGCTCAACACCACGACTGGACCTCGTCAGTATGACGGTGGCAAGAGAAAGAAAGGGAAGGAATATAAGAGAGAAGGAAAAAAGGTGAAAAAAGAAAGAGGGAAAAAGGAAGAGGAAGAAGAGGGGAGAGAATGGAGTTTACTAATAAATTTAGGATGATTAGGAGAGATAAAAAGCGCTGTAATAAAAAAATAAAACCTCGATGGACATTCTGTGGCTAGTGTGGTTGTTCAACGCAGCATCATCGCCACTGTCTTTGGTACGCTTCGAATTTGACATTGTTGGAAGTATTTTTATCGTGACACGAGGAAAAAGTAAGATATGGACTGAATGTTGGTAATGCGACGTATGTGTGCGTTTTGGAGCAGTATAATTATTGCAGAACAGCGCGTACCAGATGTCGACAGAGGGGCCCAGTAGGGGGGAATTACTTAGAGAAGTGGTATTTATA